CGGCGAGATGCAGGAATCGACAAGCAGAACCGAAACTAACATTTCTAAACGAACAATGGCGGACACGGACAATTTGCGAATGAGTTCTGCCTTTTGTAAACTGAGTTTATCAATAATTTGTCAATAAATGAGGGCTAAAAACGTCACTTGTCCGCCGGACAAGTCAATTGAAAGATCTACTTGTCCGACATTGTAAATAACACGTCCCGGACGGTGGGACGTGTGCTTTTTCGCACACTGTTTGGTTATTAAAATGTAAACCGATCTTTTTCATATGGGTGTTTTAGAGTTGTACCCCCTAGATCAGGTCTCTAGTAATTGTGTGCTCAAAGTAGGGCTGTGCGATTATGGCAAAAATCATAATCACGATTATTTTGGTCAATAATTGATATCACGATTATTAAATACGATTATTCATTGACTTTGAAAACATCCATTTATTGAACTTTAAAACAAATACAAATAATAATTTGAACAGTATCTTTTTAACTGTTGATTACCCTGAGCGTATAATTCAACTGAAAAACCAATACAAAAATAAATGATGCATTTATATTTACATTTAAATAAATAATATCAAAATAATAAATACCAATAAACAAGATCAACAAATATTTTGGAGCGCACTTCAACAAGCTACTAAACATATGTAAATATGATAAATACAAATAAATTAGACTAAAATAAATTAGATCAAATATGTTGCAGTGCACTGTCACAACCAAGCAAAGTAATTCGTAATTGTGGCAGGCCAAAATCGTAATTGCGATTAAAATACGATTAATTGCACAGCCCTAGCTCAAAGTGCACCAGATTGAACCATTTTACTTTAAAATGTTAAAAAAAATCTTCCCGGGGGAGCATACCCCCAGACCCCCCTAGAGGATGTGACGTCCACCCCCCAATTCAAACATGTTCATACAATACTGAATACATTTGAAGCCATTTTGACGTCTATTACCTATGTCAATAAGTTTCTGTTTCTGTAGTGTATTTGTCTTTTGTAGAGATTTTTCATTTATATATATAAAATCTCGCCTAGGGCAGCAAATTGGCTAGAACCGGCCCTGGTACAAGGCCTCAAGAGCCTTTCTTGTGCTGGCAGACACATAGAAACAAATTGGCAGGGCGCACTTCGCACGTGCACACACTAAAAAATTCCACGCGCTCACATTATGCTGGGCCCACGTGCCTTAGCACCGCTGCTATGACTCCATCCTAGGGGAAACACTGTGATCTAAACATTCCCACCACCACACCATAAAACCTCCCAGTCCTTAACCATTTGCAAATCCACCTTTTACCCCACATTTTGCCCTCTGAAATGTAAAACCTAAACATATATATACATATATAGATCTTCTAAACACGTATGAGACTAAGAAAACAATTTAACTGAGTAAATGCAATCAGAGTATAAGACATATATGATGATGAATGATGATATGATACTTTGACAACACTGCTTTAAAAAGACAGACAGCAGTAACTACAGTGAAGTTGAGAAAGAAAGGGTTATAAGTTAACGGCTGCTGACCAAAGTGTATAACAGATAAATAAGTTGTACAATGTAAATGTTGTGCCCTTACAGACTACACAAAAAGAGACCACCCAAACAATCTGAGCTAGGCTAGTTAGCTGTATGATGTCCTTTTGTTGTTCTGCTGTTTATGTTTTTATGTCTTCATGTGGAACTTACTGCTGCAGGTCTCCCTTGAAAAAGAGATCAATGATCTCAATAGAGAGGCGAAGTCCCTCCCCTTCCGGTGGGACTCATGGGACCTTATTTCGGAAAAGGTTTGTATTGAAGTCAATGGAGAGAGAAAGATTATCTTTCGATCCCGTTTGAATTGTGCCACGAATTACACATATGATGTTTGTCAATCTTAAATAATCATTTCCATGTCAAAAAAGTCACAGTTTGTCGTAAAACTGTTGAAAAATACGCAACTAGAAAGACTACAAATCCCAGAATCCCGGTCCCGCATGCTGGCTCTTACGGAACCGACTAACTCCCCTTGTGTGTATGTACAGCTCTCAACACGCCCAGACTTGGAGTGATTTTCACCTCTTTTAATACTTTCCGCCTCATTCTGAAAGAAAGAAGTTAAATGTGCCAACGTGACGGCCGTCTTGGTGTGTGGTGCGAGACGGGAGATGTAGTTCATTGAGCGGTTTCACATAAAAAAAGTGTTACTTCACAGTTTTACGACACATTTTAATTTTTTTGACTTGTAAAATTATCTTTTAAATTGACAAACATCATATGTGTAATTCGTGGCACAATTCAAACGGGATTGAAAGATAATCTTTCTCTCTCCATTGACTTCAATGCATAACTTTTCCGAAATAAGGTCCCATGGAGCTCAACCGGAAGGGGAGGGACTTCGCCTCTCTATGGGATTTCACCTGGATAAATAAAGGTTTGAATTTAATTGAATTGAGTCGGCCTGGGCTAACTGCTTTAGTGAGGCGTTGTGTCTCCGTAGTGCACTCACCAGTGTTTGCAGAGGTTCTGTTGTGTTGTTGAGAAGAAGCTGCTGGATTATATATGAATAATAACAAATAAATAAAAACCTAAAATAATTTAAAGGGGACCTATCATGCAAAATGCACTTTTGTACGTCTTTTATACATGAATATGTGTCCCCGGTGTTCCAGGGAACTCACCAAGTGTCAGAAAACACAACCCTCTCTATTTTCCTCCATACCCAAATCTCTAAAAAAGGGGCTGCAATGGATCTGATACAGACTGATCCAGATTTGAACACTTCTATGTCGTCACAGAAGTGGCACTACGGCTATTGGGCCTACTCTCCACCTATCAGGGGAATGTGGGGTTGGGCCACGACCGGCCATTGCCGCTCGAAAGCGCTGGAGACACTGTAGTACATATGCCAGGCCTGTAAGTGGCGCTGTAGTCTGCCACAAAAGCAGCGAAGAAGACTTCCCGCCCATAGTTACCATGGTTACCCTTCTGTTTATTCTCCGCTGTGGCTTTTTTTCTCCCTCCCCGAGGCAAGCGTTTGCTCCCGCTGCTTTAATTCAATGCAATCCCTCCCCGTCGAGGCAAGCACTGTAATTCTCTCCGGTAGTCCACCAGCAGATGACAAACACCCACCTCTCCGCCTCTTCCAAGGAACGAGGGGACCGTGCGGCAGAGTTTCAGTTTCAGTTTCTTTCGCCGGTCAAGATGTCCGTTAAAGTTTAAATCTTCCGGACAAAATTAGAAAAGTGCCGGTCAAAGGTCTTCTTTGTTATTTATTGAGCTTTAAAACAAATGAATAACGACTCTATATAATAAAACACGGAGGACGGAGATCTTTTTTTCTCCCCCTCTTGACTTGATCTGGGGCCTCATTTATAAAAAGGGATATACGCTCAAAAAATGGCGTACGCCAGTTTCTACGCAATGTTTGCGATTTATAAAATTCTAACTTGATGGGAAAATGTGCGGTCCTCCACGCAAACTCTAACCCACGCGTACGCACTAAGCACACAAACGGGAGAGACGAGAAACTGCGACACCGTTGGCAGAAGGAAGAATGGAGAGAAATATGTGGAAATAATACCATAAATAAAATGTTACCTCTCATTTATCAAATATGAAGAATTCATTTTCAAACATTGATTAAAGCCAATCTTAAAATGATTAAACAAACGCCTGTTTGAGACTCCTGAGTGCACACAAAAACATAACTTGGAGAAATAAATAAATACGGATATGTTATTTAAAACCACCTCGAATATGTTGTGTTAATGTTATGAAATGTTTTCTCATAAATGATGCGGTAAGCAGGAGGACAGAATTACGTCTAAACTGACGCCGTTTTGCATTTCTATAGGTTGTAGATACGAGCATGGTTTTATATACTATCACGTTTAATCGTGTTTTATGCCGTTTGCCAAGACTTGATAAGTCGCTAGTAAAACACAGGAGGTATGGAAACTAAGAACACCAGATGTGGTAAATTGTACAGCTAATATAACACAATCCATTAGTTGTATTTCCTTTAACTGGTGGATTATGGATATATAGTTGCTGATCGACAGCTGGAACACAAACCACCAAATACAACAAAATAATTCAGATCCAGTCGTCATGACTCCACTCCGGAGGGATTCCCCGATCATTTCTTACAGTTTCTCATCAAGGGGGTCTCCTGTCCCCGGTACAAACACACTGCCTGAGGAAGGTTATGTGTATTTTTTTTGTCATTAACTTTTTTCGGACCACTTATTTATTTATTTTGGTGACGATCCGACCTCCATGCTGCTACTCTGGTTCAAACTGCATCCACCAAACAATATGATTTATCTCCACCTCCCCAAAATAACCAAAATCTGACACGGTGTGAGATGTCTTTTTTAGCTGTTCTATCGTCATTTCCTGCGATCTCCTTCATGCAGTCAGTCAAAATGAATGAATGAATGGGCTTTTCTTTGACTATTTATAGGCAAATATGGCGTTACGAGTCGATTGTGATTCATAAAGGGAAACAGGCGTAGGAAATGCCGTATGCACTTCCCTCGCCGGTACGCAATGTTTTGTGAATCTGAAAATGTCTGTACCTATTCTTTTGCTTTGTACTACATAAGCAACCTTCCCACGTCAATCCTACGCAAGGCGTTATAAATGAGGCCCCAGAGCACGGCTTCCCTCTCCTGCAGGGGGGTGTGGTCAGCTGCAGCTCACAGAGATCAGCCCCGTAGACAGCAAACAGCACATAGTCAGAGCGAAATGAGGCATGACTAAAATGCATGATCTGTTTGGTATTTTGAAAACAGAAACGTATAAATATACCTTATATAGGTATGGCCCTACAATATATCATTTAAATATAGCATGATAGGTCCACTTTAATAATAACTTTCTGTATCAGAGGCTCGCGGCTAGCATGGCATCGAAGCTGTATCATGGCTACCTCCTTAGCTAGCTTCAAATCAAATGTCTAACGGTACCGTACATACTGATGTTATGTTTTCACAAGCCGACGTACCTCTGGCTCTCGTTTCCTCCTGTTCTTTTTTCCGTTTCCTTCCCGTTGCACGTGAAGGCTTGGACCTCTTCATAATGATAATGTTTTGCCTCTTGTTGTTGTGATCGTTGGGATCTCCGACACGTTCAGCTTCTTCTTCTTCTTCTCTCGGCTATATGGCGGATTGCAAACAACTTAAGGTGCATACCGCCACCTACTGTACATGAGTATGAATCATCATATCTTCCAGCTCTTATCTCATGGATGCATATAACTATGCCCTATTCAAAAATGTAAATAAATAAATAACCAAACAAAAAACAAAAAATAAATAAAACAAAACAAAACAACCATCTATGATCTTTCCTGACCTAAAAAAAAAAAAAGATTCCACCCCAGTTTCAAATGTAAACAGTGCCTTTCTGGTAGCTCTTACTCCTTCTCCTTCTGTTCCCAGAATACCAGCTATTCCACTCCCTCTCTGCCTCTAAAACTTTATCCCATAATTTTCCTCTTTAAACTCTATAGGTGACACAATGTAATAAAATATGTTCCACATTTTCCCTAACTCCACAGTTCCCACACTTGTCACTGTCACTTTTCCCCATGACATACAGCGTACCATTCAATGCAGTGTGATTTAGTCTGAGCCTAGCTATCATGATTTCCTCCCTTCTGTTTCTTTCTTTATAAATATTGATTGTAATTGTCTTTTGAATTGTATGATACTCTTTGCCTTTCTGGTCTTTCTCCCACCCAGCAGAACTGCAGATCTATACCGCCTCTGTGGAGTCTTAACAGGCTGTGATTGATTTCTATGAGTATGTCTTCTCTGGCAGTTGTTGTTGACTGTATGCTTTGTAAACTGGATAATGAATCTGTGCACATCACCACCCTATCTGGTCTGACCTCTTCCACCCACTGTAATCCTATAATTACTGCCAGCATTTCTGCTGTATACACTGAAAGTTGGTCTGACGCTCTTTTTGAAATCGATATTTTAAATTCTGGGATATATATACCAACTCCGACACACTCTTCCTTGTTCTTAGAACCATCTGTGAATATTGTGATGTAATTGTGATAATTACTCCTGAGGTACAAACTTGTTTTGAATCCTACTTCATTTATTTGTCACTCTCTTTTCTTTTCTACAATACTCATATCTATATTTACCATTGGAAAGAGCCATGGGGGAACACCACTGAATGGATTTGATGGTGAAAACTCAAACTCATGCCGTATGTCCTTAGGGAAAGTCCTCTCCTCCTGTCAGATAACGTCAGCTCAGTGAAGTAAAGGTCTCTCTGTGTGTTTAGATAGTTCACTTTAGTCTAAGTTATCTCAGTGGGTCTCAGTTTGATCACCATTTATGAAAACAAGTATTTCCAAGGCACACCTTTATATGATCAATATAGTTATACAAAAATAAGATAATAAATGAAAAACAGGTATGAAATACTATATGACAGTAAAACAAGAATACAGTTTAAAAGGGGAGTGATTAGTAAAATATCCATAAAGAAAAAGTAAATCTGTTTACAGTTCTGTTTCATATGGGTGTTGAGAGATGTATCCATAGATCTCTTCATTTTGCTCTCAAAGTGCACCAGATTGATGCATCCGGGAGCATGCCCCCGGACCCCCCTAGAGGAGGTTCGGTGCACCCCCCACTTGTAAACAAAATAGCACTTTACCCCTGCTTACACCTATATGCCCTGAGCTGATTATCGAGCCTTCATTGTAACAGTCGCGGGTACACTGTGTGTGTGCGTGTGGGGAGTGTTGCAGTAGAAAATTCAACTGTAGCACCCGGGGCATTAATGGGAAACCCTACATGTTTGAGCACCCTCTATGAAACGTCAAGCTACCCCGCAGCACCCCCAAAAGAAAATCTCTGGCATAAACCTATTTGTCATTTCAAAATGCACTTTTATTGTCTGCGTGAAAGGCACAGTAGGCTATGAGCAAATACATATCAACATTCAAAAATTACAAAGTCATACAATATATACCATGTGCTACTGTCTAGGATTAAGTACGATGAGAGGATTTTGTGTTTTGAATATGTAGAGAGAAAAGTTAAATTTACATCAATTAAAATAAAAGTATGGCAAGTATGATAAAATGAGCATAATGTCAAGATATAGCCAATATACAATCAACATGCTTGAATATAAAGGCAAGAAGAACAATAAACAGATGAACATTTAGGTTTTATGTGTAAATTCGGAGAGAGCAAACCATCTTAATACATGTAGCAGCCTAAGACAGCAAACTAAGCTTCTGCTGCGAGAACACAGTTTTACCATGGGGTATTTCTAACAAGACCAAAAAGATATACAAGGCTTCCAAAACAGAAGAAACCAACTCAATACAGTATTTTAATTTCCTTCAAAACGACAAAAGCACAAATAAAAACTAAATAACAATAATTCCTTCACCATCTTCTGTATAACAAGTTCTATTTGCAATTACCTAAAAATGGTTTTCAACGCACAAGTTAACCCTTCTCTTGTGTTAGGTCATACCCCCCTTCCCATACTATTTTCGGTCAAAATTGGCCGATGTGTTTTGCACAGTGATATCTCTGGAACCCCTTATCCAATTGTGATGGTTGACATCTCATTTGAACAGTCAAAGCAAGTAGAATCAGTTAGTTCAAAGATAGTGTTTACTGTACATTACTATATATTATACAAATGTTTGCCATGTAGGCTGTGTTTACTGGAGATGGAAATGCTTTAGTTAGTATTGTAGCTGAGATTCTTCCTGTTCCAATTATGTATTGATTTGATGCAAGCAAGCCAGTGTTTCATTGTGTACTTTCAACTACAGTATATGGTACGGCAAGCTCAGCATTCACTGTGATGAATATAAAATAACTAACAGAACATCAACATGGGTGTGTGTGTGTGTGTGTGCGTGTGTGTGTGTGTGTGTGTGTGTGTGTGTGTGTGTGTGTGTGTGTGTGTGTGTGTGTGTGTGTGTGTGAGTTTTACTCGCTACAGGGTGTACTTTGAGGTGTGTGTGTGTCAAAATCAGCTGTTTCTCTATGTATTTCTTAGAGGGGCACCATCCAAGCTGATCTGCTCGATATGCGGAAAAGAAGTCCTTCCGGTCAGTAAGTCTCTATGGACACGGTCGGCACGCGGGTCTCACAAGCTGCCGGACCGAGAGCTTGATCCTGCCTGCGGAGGGAAAAGGCGGTCTGCTTGGTCTGCCCTTGGCTCTGGGGTGCCTCCTTAAAAAATCAAATACAAACCTTTTAAATAAAACATTTATTTTAACAGAAAAGTTAAAAAAAGGTTTAAAGAGAAACTAAGAATAAAAACTCATAAATTATTTGATCATTTATCATGCGTTCCATGTTCACTCTACAGCGAGAAGCTCATGGGGCTTTCCCGAACCTGTGTCGAGAGCTGAAGTTAAATGAAATCTCAGATTTGCCTTCTTAATAGTTTGCTTGGGTCCCTCACTTCCGTTTCACTTCTAGTATACTGATTCGCTAAGCTGAGCAGCCAACAGAGTGATTTCTTTGGCCGACGGCCTCCCGATTCAACATGTGGAATCGGCGGCGGAAGGTGTCAGCACGGCCGAAAAGACACGACGGTGCAGTACACACCAATCTGAATAGGGCGACACAACGCTCATCGACGGCCCGACATCTATCGACGCCGAAAATCGGCTCGGTGTGTAAGGACCTTTAGATCAGGTCCGTTTAATGCAAATGCTGCATGAGATAATATTAAAGTCCTTCCTGTTGCTATCCCCATAATCACGTATCAGCAACCTGTTGTTTTCTAACTCACCCGGGTCAAGGTTAAGTCAAACAGATATCGTCTGTTTGAAAGTAAAAGTGCTTTTTGTGCAGTGTTGAGATGACGTTGTTTTTAAAGTGTGCTAAATCAAATTTATTATTATTATTATTATAGTGTCCATTTCATGATGGGAAATCACTGTTGCTAATGTTAAAGGTGTTTCTGGTGACCTTTGACCCCAGTGATGTTTTCAATAAGAGAGTTAAATGTCTAATACTGCTGACGTTTGGAAGGATTACATCTTCAGTTTATTTAGAGGTCATGTCACCGGATGAGACGGTGGATTACTACAGGTTATAAATGTATTTTAGATTAATTAAAATACAAGTACACAACATATACAAAGAATTACCAAGTCACCTAACTTCTAAACTTTTGTATTTGAGTACTGTAAATGTACTTAGTTACTTCCTATCTGTTCAACACATTACACAGTCTACGCTCCATTATAGAAACTAATCCATCTGCCCTACATTCATGTTACTACTAGTAGTACTAAGCTCCTTTTCTCCATCTAAAAGACTTCCCAAAGTACAGTACAACAAACTTTTTGTGAATACTTTTATTTAAACTTGAGTAGCGGTTAAATGACATTACATTCAAGATTTCAACGTAACACCAAACATGTACTTGTTCCAAAAATAATTAAATGAGATAATGCAACAAAAGAAAGATCTATGAAAAATGTCCCTCATGATGTAGCACTGTTCAAATCAGCTGTTCACACACACACCCCAAAACAACATTATCACACACACTTCCTACTAAACTCTCTCAACTGTGAAGAGGTATGTTCAGCTCATCTGAGAACAGCTCATGGTAGGGCTGTGCGATTATGGCAAAAATCATAATCACGATTATTTTGGTCAATAATTGATATCACGATTATTAAAAACGATTATCCATTTACTTTGAAAACATCCATATATTGAAAAAACAGTAAATTGAACAGTATGTTTTTAACAGTTGATTACCCTGAACTTTAAGTATAATTCAACTGAAAAACCAATAAAAAAAAATAAGATTACATTTTTTTTTTTTTTTATAAAATTATAATGGTTTTATTTCGATTACATTGTTTTCGTAATCGTTGCAAGCCAACATCGTAATCGAGATTAAAATACGATTAATTGCACAGCCCTAGCTCATGGTGTTCTTAATCATATTATTTGGTGCCATTATAATAAAATCAGCTGTTTTTTTAACTGTACCCAACAAGCAAAAACATTTCCTCAGACATTAATTGTACTTTGTTTATTCCAAAGAAAAGAGATAAAAAAAATTGTTGTGACTTATTCATAAAATGGTCTTCAGTTGTGTGAGCCAATATGCAACATTTCCTATATAATCAATGATTAGACAATAAATTATAGATTTGGCACAAAGTCATGTCAGGAAAGTACAAATGCTTCTTATTTCATTGTTTCTTCTTCTATGATATTACAGTTTCAAAGGCAGGTAATGCAGTTTTCAGAATTCATCAGATCATTTAAAAAATGCGGTCAAATTAGTTTGCTGTTTTAGTAGCATT